TAAATACTACGGGAGTGACGAACCGTGGGGTCCTTATCTCTGTTGACACACACACATTCACACACACAAACACACAAACACACAAATAGGTGTAAATCCGACCGTGCAACCTCCACCTTGGGTAATGCTAATGCCGGCGGTACCGTAACTTTCAATCCTCATAACTCGAAAATTACTGATTAAAAATACGTTTCATTATAGCGTTTTGGAAAGCTCTCGAGGTAAGCTACAAGAATATGCATTGAAAAATGGGGGTTTTCATTTAAGAAATTAAAAATGACCTTCGCGTAATCTTCAAACGACTATCCAAGGTCAAACCAATGACACCATTTTATGTGCCCCTCGAAGTCACAAAACTTTTGTCTGAAACATTTTTCTTTAAAATGTCGCGTTTACGAAAAAATCGGGTGANACACCCTGTAGTGTAAGTCTTCCGTAATATATCAACATAGGCGAAAAATGTTATAATTGCTGCAATTTTGAAAGCTGATTCTATTAATGTTTCATTAATTCGATAATTTTCCAACAATATTTTAATGTTAAGTTATATAGGTAAGGTAAGGTTGTTAAAATATTGATTTAAAATTCTATTAACCTTCCAACATTATTGTAATATAAGTTTTATTATAAAGTTAATGATATATACATTCTCATTAAACTCTGTAAAGTTATAACGTATAACCTTAGTGTAATGTCCGGTGTTATAAGAGGTATGTCAAGAGTCTGGTAGAAAGAAAATTAAGAAGCAACATATGCCAAATTTATTTCTATATATTAAATAAAAATTTAAAAAATTTTTCGACAGCCTCAATTTTGCGTTCTCTATTGTCATTTATTACAAATCTTGCGCTTATTGACTGCGCTGCTAGGCTGCTTGTTTCCTTTTCATCGGGGTCTTGATGTGGAAAGTATGTCGTTAGAATTTGGATAAAATTAAATTTGAAATTATTGCTATATTAAAATTCAGCTATAAGTGCCACTTGACGCTAAGGTAGACCAGATCCATGATAAGGCGTTCATAACTTCGAAATGGCCGAGTTGCAAAGGTTTAGCGCAGAATAGAATCGGAGTAACAATTATTGAAAGTCAGAACTTTGCGTCAGAAGGACGACAATTGGAATAATAAGATTTTTCGGATACCCTTAGTCAACAGTGTACGATATTGCCCAGAAATGCGCAGTTTTCGTGGAGTTCGAGGAGGGGTCTACCATTCTGATGAGGAAGATCCAAATAATGGAGAAGGCGGTAAGAACTCTTAAAATACCGTCATGTCGTCACAGTTCTTCTATTGAGTGCTTGAATTAATTCTCGCTGTTGATTAATAGAGGTCAATAGTTGTGTTATTTCAACATGGCCGAAAGTGACTGTTGATGTATATGAAAGAACTGTCAATGGGCTTTAATGATGAGTGTATGAATTAGATCGTAATGCAATGAACACAATTCTTTATAGCAATGAAAATATCGGGTTTCGTAACAAAAAACGAGTATTTGCGGGAAACATTATTTTTTTATTTTTATCTCAAGAAATCTCCTGCTTAAAGTCATAGTTTGCGAGTGAAGAAACATGTTTTATCTGAAACAACTTGCAGAGATTGGTTCAGGCGATTCAAAAATAACGATTTTGACCTGAATGACAAATAGCGCATTTATAAGTCGAAAAGGTTTGAAGATGGAGAATTGGAAGTATTACTGCAAGAATATTCATGTCAGATACTTAAAGAGTTGTCGGAAACACTAAATGTCGATTAGTCAACTGTTTGAAAGCAATGAGAAAGATCCAGAAGTTAGGAAACTGTCCCACATGAATTGAGAGAAAGAAACATTGCTAAACGTATAACTATTTGTGAATTGCTGCTTCAAAGACAAAAACGGAAGTCGTTTTAGCATCGAATAGTGATTGGCGATGAAAAATGGATCCTTTACGACAATTCTAAGCGCAAGAAATCATGGGTGCGTCCCGGCGAACTGTCAACATCAACGCCAGATAAGATATTTATGGAAAGAAGGTCATGCTATGCATTTGGTGGGGTCAAGTCAATGTAATATATTATGTGTAGCTGCCATTGAGTCACACTATCAATACTGAACGCTATCGACGACAATTACTCAATTTGAATCGAGCATTCAAAGAAAAACGCCCGCAGTACGCCAAAAATCATGACAAGATATTATTCTTCTGTATGATAATGCTTGACCACTTAGCGCAACACCAGTGAAGGAAACCTTGGAGGTATTTGAATGGGATGTCTTACCTCATCTTCCCTATTCACCACACGTTATTCATTAAGATTATCAATTTCTTCCTTCGATGCAATATGGTCTTTCTCAGCAACAATTCATTTCTTTCCATAATATAAGAAAATGGCTTGATGAATGGATCGTCTCGAAAGAACCTAAATTTTTCTATCGCGGAATCGATGTGTTACCCAAAAGTGGCAATAGGTTGTAGCTTCCGAAGGACGATACATTGGATAAGATATAATGTACTTGTTGCGAACGTTCAGATAGGATGAAAGAGGAGCAAGCACCGATTCAGTTGCGGAAATTCGATGGAGAGTTGACGTGCGGGACAGTCACGGGCCACACGTCACGTAGGGGACCCCCTCCCTCTGTCTGGGTCGACGTATATTGAAGGATGATCACTAATCAAGACGACCGTACAATATCCGAAACACACACTCGAAAATGCACGCTAGGCGCTTGCTCACCGTTCTATCGACATGAGTATTATGGCAGACGAGAACGGTCCCCTCGAGCGCTCCTTCGGAACACTGTTGTATATCCGCCAACAAGCGAACTCTCTCCTGGGCGGATCACGCGTCGCCTCGCGTACGCCGCTAGCTGCGCCAGCAAGAGTCCAGCGTGCATAAGATTATCTCGCATGTCGCGCTGCAACCCGGCGGTTGAGCTTTGCTCGATCCTCAACAGTACCGTTCTTCTGAAATAAACATGAGTTTAATAGCAAAATACAGCAAGAATTAATTCAAGCACCTAATCGAAGGAGAAAATAGACACAAAGGAAGTCTATTTGGAGCTTAGGTGCTCGGCGGTAAAGGTCCACTTTGGATAAAGGCCGTGTATCTTCTAGCAGGACGGCGCACCTGTTCATATAAATCATTTTGTACGGAGTTAGATCTTCCTCTACGTCGATATGTTTTGGTTCAATGACTCATAACCTTTCAAAAGTTCTGACATAAACCTTCTCGTTTACTACGTGCGGGGCATAGTCTAAAGGATTATCAACATTTCCACGTACCCTAATGTGGCCTCCCTCCGAGTCGCCATCGAGGCGGATTTGCGGCCATGGACTGGCCCCAGTTGAAGACTGTATGCTCACGCTTTAGGACCAAGATCGAGACAGTGATCGAGTCACAGAGCGCCCATATCGAGTAAGAGGACTCAAGATCTCTTAAGTTGAATATCATAAATTATTTTTTTGCATTTTTAATAATGTCTCTAATAAACGACTTTTCCGATAAGTCGTTCTTATGCTTGGTTTCTAACGGCGCATCCTATACACCATTAAAAGCTTGAAAATTCAAACATTGAAAATTTCCTTTAAAAGTCACATTAGACAAAAACTCGGAGAGGGATTTACTTATTATTATGTAGATATCTATGTGCTGGAAGATCATAATCGTTAGACACATTATGTTTTTTCCTTGAGAGTTACACGTGAGTTCGTTCCATTTTCCTTTACCTATTATAATTAAAACTAGCTACATTTGAAATTTCTTGTTTTGATTTTGAAATTCTTTTATTTGTGGTGTTTCCTAGACAGTTCATACATATATTTTTATAATACAAATAGACAAGATAATTTCAATGTCTTCAGTACGGTTATGTGTCTCACACTTCTAAACAAAGGAGAAGCGATATTTTGGTTATTTATTACCATAAAAGTTCAAGCGACAACAAGCCTCAACATATGAACAGTCAGCCGGATCCATCTAGTTAGTGCGCGTGGCAATGTACTGAATTGTAGAGAACTTTAGAAGATTTTAAGCAAGATTATTAACTATAAATATTATAGTTCTCGAAGTTATTAAGCCAATATTCGAGGAACTCAAAAAAGACTATCTTCTAACAAGACGTTTTGGTGCAAATATCAAAAATAATAACAAAAGTTTAAATGTGGTGATTTGGCGTTTTACACTGAAATATTTATACGCAAGCCTATAAATAATCGAAATTTCAACGTTCCTGGCTGTTTATATTTCCAATGAAGAGTATGCACTTATCTTAAAAATAATCACTAATAGGTGTGAAAATCGGCAGAAAAACGTAAATTTTCATATTGCAGCATCATAAAGATCGCATCAACCGTGCAGTGTGCCGACTCTCCTTTAAGACATGGAAAATCAAATTAGCAAACTGAGAGGTACAATTGGTATCTGAAGAATTATTTAAGGAAGAAGAAGACATATTTTACGCAACTGGAATAGCAGAATAATGGTAAGTTAAAAAAAATTCATTGTAGCAAATAATTTAAATTTTTTATATAATTTATAATATAAATATAGTTTTTATCCGTACTTTGAAAAAAAGTTTTAAATTTATTACATCTATTTTTTTAACCTCTTTGCCTACAATATTGTGAGAGACTCGTGGTAAAGAAATCGAGTGAAACATAAGAATCGCGGATGAGGGCCGTGGTACGTAGATCGAGCTAAACATAAACAACACGTGTCAGGCACGTGGTTTGTAGATCGGGCCAAACATAAACAATACGAGTCAGGCTCTTAGTTAATTGTCGCCGATGTCTTCCTGTCTCAGTTACGTGTTATTCTTGGACACATTCGCACGTTCAAATATATTTTCTTAAAAATATTATATTAAAAATATCATAAGATGTGTGCGATTGGCACAACCTCGAGCATTCGGTCAAACCGTTAAATGGCTCGACGCGTGACCGATTTTGCCGTTGATTGTGGCATGCGTCGTCGGAACTTGAATCGTAGGACAAGGGGTTAACATAACTAAGAAAATATATCTAAAAATTTTACCAACAGAATATTGATTTTTTTCTGCAAAGTTTACATCATATTGGTTGGACATAATGATAAATGCTCCTACATAGCGAAAGTACATACGAAAATGAACTAGAGTAGTGTCCAATATATAACGAAAACGATTAAATATTTCAAAACTGAAATCTCGACCTGTCAAGTGAAGTAAATATTTGCCTAAAACAAAAATTTTGAAACCTGTACAGGGTCCACCACCAAAATCTGGACAAATTTTAATTTGAATTTCCCGCCTTATTTTATTTCGGCGGCAGGTCATTGTTAACGTTCAGGCAAGTTAGATGTTTGCAGTAAACGTGCATAACCTCAAAATATTCGAACAGATAACATCAAATGCGGAGCATAACCGAAGAGCGGCGATAATCAAGGGTTTTCGCACTAGTCGTTTGCAGACCGAAGTTATTCGGTTCTTCGGGTATCGGAGATCGACCATATATGATGTTGCAGCTAAATTTTTGGCTTCGGAGACGTTTGAAAAAGGTTTTGCCAATCCTACGAGAAAGAGCCATTTGAAAGAAAAGTCGGTAAGGACTTCAGCAATTATCGAAATGGCTCAAGAGTTCATTTCCGACGACCCAAGGCAGTCTGTGATGAAATTGGCAAAAACATTGCATGTGAGTGACACTATAATGCGTCGAATTGCTGAAGAGGATCTTCGTTTCAAGTCCTATGTGATAGACGTTCGACATACTTTACGAGGCTGCCAAGATGAACAGTTACTCGCTGTAATATGTTTTTGGCCTCCGAATAATCCAGATTGAAATCCTTTAGACTGTTACGTGTGGAGCGTCATTGAACGAGTGATCAACAAGTGGAAACATCCCAACGTGACATTTCTTCAGGCCGCTATAGAAGCGACATTTGCCAATATGAACAAGGAAGCGATGCCAGCGCTTCAGGACAAATATCGAAGCAGTCATCAAAGCAAAAGGGGGTTACATAGAACAATTTTACTCTAAAAGAATACCATTAGTGATGTATAGAAGGTTTTTTTTGCTAATTTTTACATTTTGATGCATAGAATTTTGTTTAAACAAATTATTCATTTTGTTCGGATCTTGGTGGCAGACTCTATACATATCAAGTGCGTGTTTGCTTCATTGAGGAAAATTTTGAAGAACATTTTTGTACATTTATAATTCCACAAAGAAGCCGAAAATGACACGAAAAGTTTGCAGAAAGGTTTACGTATCTTGATTAGATTCTCCGTTAGATATGGTAAAAAAAGTATCGTGTATTCATTTTCATCACACTTATATCGCGCTAACATTATGATAACATTCAGAGTATATACAAAGTATTGAAATATAATATCATTTCGAAAGGTAACGAACGCAAAAGAAAATTTAAATAGAAAATGTTAAGAATTTAGAAAGGCGCATTTAATGATGACTTCTACGCTAGGGACAAGGTCACCTTGAAATAAGCTATAAATTTGACCTCTACGCTGGTACCAAGGTCATCATTAAATGCTCCTCTTTAAATCCTTCAAATTTTCTATATACCCTCTAAATTTGACCTCTATGCGAATTTTTTTAATAGGATCCCCTATTTTTGACTCAAGAAATGAAAAGAGCAGGAAATTATACCATTGCCATTCAGGAAGAGAAGGAAATTATACCATGCCATTCAGGCATGTTATTATTTAATGAAGTCAAATTGACTCGAAGGGGTCATTTTCAAGTTAAATCAATTATTAAATAATAATTCTCTAGGGAAAGAAGTAGGAAAATATTGATATGAAATTAGCAGAGTTTAAAAATAGGCATTTTGTGTTGACCTTGGCTCCAGCGTAGAGGTCAAATTTAAAGATCTTTTCAAGGTCAACTCGAAATTTTTTAATGGAAATCTTGATACTTAACACCAGAAATGGATACAGCAGAAAATTTTGCTTTAAAACTTGTCATATGGGAGATAATGTTGACTCTAAATGGTCATACAAAGATAAACTTGTTTTTATGTATTCGGTTGGCAAATAAGTTCGTTCGGTTCTTTTGACTGGTATATAATACAAATTATTTAATATACAAAATACATATTAATCAATAACGTATTGACCATTCTTTTCTATGACTTCTTGCCATCTTTTTACCAATTTCATAATCCGACATTCATAAAACGTCTGAGGTTTACCGGCAAAAAACTGATCCAGTTGCGTTTTAACAGCTTCATTATTAGCAAAGTTTTTTCTGTTTAGAGAATTTTGCAGCGACCGGAACAAATGATAATCAGAGGGTGCTGGTGAATAAGGAGGGTGAGGCAAAACATCCCAGCCAAGCCTTAACAATTTGTTCCGAGTAGTTATTGAAGTATGGGGTCTGGCATTGTCGTGGTGGAAGACGATTCCTTTTCGATTTGCCAATTCTGGACGTTTTGAACGTATTGCTTAATTCAATTTCGTTAATTGGGAGCAATATACAGTTGAATCGATCGTCCTGCCTGATGGTAAGAGCTCATAATAAATGATACCTTTATAATCCCACCACACTGAGAGCATAATTTTCTTCGGGTGCAATCCTGCCTTCGAGGTTGTTTGTGGTGGTTCACTGCTGCTTCCCCATGATCTTTTACGTACTACGTTATCGTAGACGATCCACTTTTTATTTCCCGTAACCAACCGCTTCAAAAATGGATCGTTTTCTTGGCGTTTCAGTAGCGCGTCGCAGATGGAAATGCGAGCGGTTAAGTTGGTCTCGGTCAATTCGTGCGGCACCCAAACATTGAGGTGAGAAACGTATCCCAACTGACGCAAATGGTTTTCTACACTTGTGTGGGATATATTAAGTGTCGTAGCAATCTCTCGTACTGTTTGCGATGGATTTTTGTAGACGGTATTCTTTATTACAGCTGAATCAATTTCTGCTGGACGACCAAAACGGGATGCGTCACTAACATCAAAATCTCCAGAACGGAATTTGGCAAACCATTTTTGACACACACGTTCTGTTAAAGCATCGTCCCCATACATATTACAAATCTTCTTATGAGCTTCCGCAGCTCGTTTGCCTTTTTTGAAATAAAAAAGTCAAATATGGCTAAAATGGACGTTTTTTTCTTCTATATTTACAACCGTGCAGTACGCACAATACTCTGGTATTAACCGGCGTATGTTTACAAATATGTTAGGTGGAACGTCGCTTTTCAGCTGCGCAAGTGCGTTGTGCGATAGCGCTGTGGAAAAAAGATAGCAGAAAGAGTAAACCTACTCCGATTAAAAAACCGAACGAACTTATTTGCCAACCCAATAGAAATTAAATTATTAGCTTACATCGATTACTAGTGTTACATCGATTTTCCTTTCATCGGCAAATCATTCATGTGCCTTGCTTTCATTAGCTGGATTGTATAATTAATCTTACCTTTATCGGATAAATCATCTCCTGATCCCTTAACTGGCAAAAATCTTCATCCTTTACCAAATATAATTTTTACATTAAAAAAAAGTTGATCTGTATATAACCGTTAGGAGTCAATGTAACTATATATTGCCCCATGTTTTAACGTATTAGGTACTTGAATTAATTTACGCTGTATTTTGCTACAAGAATTCATGTTTATTTGAAAAGGACAGTAAATTATATCTTATTCAAAGTATCGTCCTTCGAAAGTTACGATCGTTTTTCACTTTTCGGGTAGCACAGAAATTTCGCAATAGAAAAATTCAGGTTTTTTCAAGGCGATCTATTCATCGAGCCACATTTTTATATCATCGAAAGAAATGAATTGCTGCTCAGAAAGACCATGTTGCATCGACAGAAGCAATCGATAATTTGAATGAATAATGTCTGGTGAATAGAGCGGAAAGGATAAAACATCCCATTCAAATACTTCCAAGATTTCCTTCACTGGTGTTGCAACATGTGGTCTGGCATTGTTCTGGAGAAGAATAATCTTGTCATGATTTTTGGCGTACTGCGGGCGTTTTTCTTTGAGTGCTCGATTCAAATTGAGTAATTGTCGTCGGTAGCGTTCAGTATTGATAGTGTGACTCAATGGCAGCTACACATAATATATTACATTGACTTGACCCCACCAAATGCATAGCATGACCTTCTTTCCATGAATATTTTATCTGGCGTTGATGTTGACGGTTCGCCGGGACGCACCCATGATTTCTTGCGCTTAGAATTGTCGTAAAGCATCCATTTTTCATCGCCAATCACTATTCGATGCTAAAACTACTTCCGTTTTTGTCTTTGAAGCAGCAATTCACAAATAGTTATATGTTTAGCAATTTTTTTTTCTCTCAAAATGTGTCTCTTAAAAGTTTTCTAACTTTTGGATTTTTAGTTATTTTACGTAGAACAAGTTATTTTACGTAGAGCATTCTCTCTATAAGATTTCACTAACAAACGATGATTTTGAGCAGCAGATTTCTTGAGATGAAGAGCAGAAAGGTAATGCTTTCCACAAATGCTATTCTTTGATATCAAATCCGACATATTCAATGCAATAAAAAGTTTTTTTCCTTGCATTACGATCTAATGTTACACATTGATTATTATGGTCTATTGCCACTACTTTCTTATAAATGACAATCATTTTTGGCCATGTTGAAGTAGCACAACTACTGACCTCTATTTGTGAACGGCTAGAATTAATTGATGCATCTACTCGAATTTCTTATTCTTTCCATTTCTGGATTTAAAAATAGGGGTTCCCATTCGAAAATTCAAAGAGACCTTGAAATGACCCATAAATTTAACCTCCGCGCTTGGGCTAAGGTCATCGGATGCTCCTCTTTAATACGTTGACTGCCGAGCCGAAAAAGTGCTACACACATTCAAGTAACATTTACTTAACACATTAGCTGCCGGTCACGTGAGGATGTGTTGATAGTTAGTGCCCTGCCGAATACGTGACTAGCTACTGATATATCACCCACACCCCGCGCTGGCGCGTGATTGGCTTTGTAGCGTTGACGCCATATCACGCACTGGCGCGGGATCGGCAGGGAAAGTGTTAAACTCTGCAAATTTACTATTTAAAATTTCTTTTTGTTCGTTATCTAATGAGATATTTATATTTTGGCTCTTTTTTTATACCCTGTATATCATATTAACATAATGGCTATATAAGGAGTACGAACATAGCAGCCTGACCATATCAAGTTAATATAACATAATTTTTCAAGAATAGCTTCCACGTTATCGACGATTATTAAGGTCGTCAACATATATATTAGGTGTATAAATTATTTTTCAGCCTTTTTGATATAATTCGATATTTATTTAAAAAATGAATAATTATCTATTCTTCAAAATAATCTACCTCACTCTCTATGCATTTCCACTATCTCTCTGGCAACTTGCGAATATCGTTTCTAAAATAAAATGGTCGTCTTGACCGAATAAAATCATTGATGCTTTTTTTACTTTCTTCGGGAAATTGATAGTGCAAATTGTCCAGGTGATGTTGTAGCGACCGGAAAAAGTGGTAGTCTGAAAAGGCGAGGTCTAGAGAATACGCTGCATAATTGAGAATTTCCTAACTTAAATCGTAGGTAACTTCCATGGTCGCTATTGATAAATGCGGCCGCGCGTTGTCGTGCAACAAAATTACTTGCCTATTTCCAATACCGGTGAAAGTTTTTTTCTTCAATCGCGTAGCTTAATTTTATCATTTGTTCCTGGTAACGTTTAGAAGTAATAGTTTCTCCAGGTTCAAACATTTCGTAATAAATAACATCTTTGAAATCCCACCATATATTCAATATTTTTTTTGAATGAATGTTCGGTTATGCAATACTTCCTAATGGTTGACTCGGATAAACCCATGACATTCGTTTCTTTGGATTGTCAAACAATATCCATTTTTCATTTCCAGGCATAATTTTATGGAAAATTTGCTTTTGTTTACATCGTGACAGAAGGGATATTGCCGTTTCACAACATCTAATTTCAGTAGTAAGGTTGTGAGGAACCCAACGATCTTTTTTCTGTATTTTTCCGAATTTATTTAAATGTATAGAAATAGCCAGTTGAGTAACTTCCAGTTCTTCAGCAAGCACCTTGTGCGTTTCACAAGGACTTTCAAGGGTCGAGGAATTTCTTCCATTCCTTAACTTCAATTTTTTTTGGTTGTCCAGGGTGTTTTTCATCCTGGACATCAAAATTTCCATCCCGGAACATCTGGAACAACATTTTATACGTGCTATAAAATACAGCATTCTCCCTCATGGCCGAATAAATCATTTCTTGTGCTTCTGCAGCATTTTTTTGAAGTTGGAATGCGAAATGGAGGCAGTGCATCAGGTGCTGCTTTTCGAACGATATTGCATTTACTACTATTTTTTGAGTTGTTATATCAGTAGTACCATCAACTATTAAAGCTCGTTTTAAAGCTTAGATATGGCGCTTTAAACCGATTATTCGGGGGGGGGGGGCATTTCTATTTAAATAGGTGCTGTAGTCGATTTAATGTAGGGGCCGAGAATTAATTTTTACACATATTAGCATCCTCTTAAAAATTGAGAAAAAGATTAATTTTCAATACATTTTCCTTGTAAAGTCATTATTTTTCCAAATTTATCTATACCCTTCTTTAATCAAAAATTTCATCTATATAATTAAAAATTTTTTTCGTTTTTTTGTTTCAGAACAATGTGAACCCCGGGATCGTATCAACAGTTGATGCAGCGCCCTCGAAAGAACAGCTGTTTTTGCTGTTTAATAACTATAAGTTGGATCGATCAAATTTGATATAAAAATTTATTTTGTATTTCTTTAATAAGATAAATGGATTGTGCATATTTTAAGTCAATTAGTTTTATGCTTTTTTGAAAAAAATTGTTAAAAATAGTCTTAAAAACACCCTTCAACAAAGAGTGAAATGCCAAACCCCTCTCTACATATAAATATATCTAATTAAAATACATCTAATTATATTGTATGAACAGGGTTTGTTAATAACTAATTAATCAGTTAGAAGTTAAGTTAGAAAGTTAAAAAGTCGGTAATTTATAATTTCCTGGGAAAAATGATTATATATGATTATGTATAATTATATGAAATTATATATAAATTTTGTTTATATACAGAATGTCGCAAACTAATCTCTGTTCCCGTGATATGCAAGTGGAAGGGGTGAAACTGAATAGAAAAGTCCTATACCATTTTGCCAATAATACGCAAAGTTTTGAGTTATCAGTGATTGAAAATAGCCATGTATAGGCTAGTGAAACATTTTATGTGTCTCTCTGTGTCTCCTTGTTGGAAAGCAACTAATGTTAAAGTGTTGCATGAAATAATCGGTTGGAATCTCAACTATTTAAGAATTAGATAGTTAAACCTCTATTTTCCAACAGAAAAATAAACTTCAATGATAATACATATAGGGTTTGTCCGGAAAGTAATGTCAGTGAATTTTTTTTTTGACGCGACTGGCCATCAGAACGCGCTCGGATTGGTTGGGAATGGTAGAGGGGGAAGTCAGCTAACGAATGTTGAGCCACTCAGTCTTCTCCCGCCAGCAGCATAGTAAGGACATGCGTTTCCGTGGAAGTCGTGTTGTGATCTCGTGCAAGTAAAAATGCAGCGCTCGTTAGAACAAAGTTTTGCGTTAAACTTGGCAAGACCGCGGCGGAAACTCTTCCAATAATCAAGAGAGCTTTTAAAGAAGACGCCCTGTCGGATCGGCAAGTGTTCCGGTGGCACCAGGTGTTTTTAGAAGCCCGGGAAAAGGTTAATGACGAAGCCCGCGCTGGATGGTCGTCAACGAGCACCACGGACGACAATGTGACGCGAATGAAAGAACTTTTGAACACAGACCGACGCTTGAATGTCCGTTTATTGTCACAGTTATTGGACATTCCAAAAACTATCGTTCATGAGATCATTAGGAACAATTTGAACATGCGGAAGATTTGCGCAAAGATGGTCCCAGAAATGCTCACCGACGACCAAAAATTGCACCGCGTTAAAACGTGCGAAGAAAATCTGGACATGTGCGAAACTGATCCCGTCGCTCCCCCTGACTTCTTTCTGTTTCCACGCCTGAAAGCATACATGAAAGAAAAGCATTTCGAGACCATTGAGGGGATCCAAGCAGCTTGTACCGCGGCTATTCAGGACATTTTGGAGGAGGCCCACCGTGGCGCATTCGATGCCTGGAAAACTCGCTGGAGCCGACGTGTCAACGCAGGAGGAGCCTATTTTGAAAAATTTTGATGTTTTGTAACAAAAAGTTCAATACATTTTTTTTATTCGACTCAATGACATTACTTTCTGGACAGATCCTGTATATTACACACACACACACACACACACACACACACACACACACACACACACATTTAGTCCTGTATTCATAATCGGAATTTATTTAAGACTATCTTTAGTTTATCTTCAGACATTTCCATAACCAATAAAATGAGCGGTTTAGCATTCGAAAATCAACTTTGAACGGTCTTAAATATAAGATCCGATAATATCGGCCATAACCTATATCTATTGAAGTGAAATTTGATTATCCATAATAATAGCCCATTCTGTTCTTTTTCACTTTTTACATTCTCACGTTATTTTGTACTAGGTGCATTTTCTCTTTTCTGCTTTTTTTACAAATATCAATCGGAAAATGTAGGCTTAATCAATGATGATTTAAGAGGGAAAATGACTTATTACAATTTTTAAATGACACTTTTGTTCAAAATATAATAAGTATTTCTAATTGTTATAATATGCAGAGTCATCAGTATCAGTCAACTAAAGATAAAACGTTTGTATACTGATATAGCATACGAGTCAAATTGGAATGTATTTCACTATTTTTTAAATTTCATAATAGTTTTTAAAGAATTGATTATAATATATTGTTGAATGTATAAACATATGATATGTTGGGATGAATTTGACAAATAAAATCTCATTGAAATTAGCGGATATTTATTGACGATATTTTGAAAACAAAAAACAGTGTATGATGCTAATTGCGTATTTTTATTGTCCACTATCACACTCCGTCTACCATTCAGAGATCATTAATACAGATCATTAATAATTTATAATTAATACAGATTCGTGTCGAAATTTTGGATAAGATTTTGCTAAAGAGATCGTCCTACCGTTTCTCGCATATTCATTTGATAATAATGCTTAATTCCTTAAAAATTATTGTAAAATCGTAATATATCTGCCGTATCAGAAATATTTTGAAATGTTTATTGTTTCAGGAGAATGTAGGAAGAACTATCGCCAAGCAGCAAATATGTATGTTGAATGTTATTCTGGTCGCGAAAGAAAGTCGCATATGGCATTTACACAACTATCGGAAAGTTTTGTTAGCTGTGGTATAGTGCAAGAAAAGAAAAACATGAAAAACAGCTAGTGATAACATTACAATGAATATACTTGCTGTTTTCAATTGAATTCTATAGTTAGTATTAGGCAATTAGAGAGGAAATGTAGAATGTAGAGAAGAATTAGTAACAGTTCATTACTCAAAATGCTACGTGATAACCATTTTCATCCATATTACAATTACTTGCATCAAAATTTAGAAGAATCTGATTTTACAAGTCGCATGAATTTCTGTAACATTATGTTATGTTATAACATAATTAATGAAGACCAAACTTTCCTTTCGCGTACTTTATGAAGCTAATTTCTGTAATAATGGACAAGTAAATAGACATAACACGTAATATTGAGTGATTGAGAATCCATGATGGATGCGAATAGTTTCATTTCAATGCCTTGGTTTCTAAATATCTGGTAATATGGTGATCATATTATCGGGCAACAATTCTGAAACACCCCTAAATAGCGAAGTATACATAAAGTATACATAAATTTTTGGAAAATATATTACCGAAATTACAGAACGTACCGATAGGTTTACGCATAATCTTGTGAATACAACACGATGAAGTACTTATGCGTTATGCAAGGATTTCTCGACTGAAAATGCAAGAGATTTTCCTTTAAAAGTGGACAGGACCAGAGGGTACAGTACACTGGCCTCTTCGTTCCCTAGATTTAACACTATTTGGTTAATTTCTATAAGCTTCCATTAAAAATCGAGTAATGGCAACTGCTCCAACGACAATGAAAAATATAAAAAAACTGAATTTAACAATTTTGCTCTAAAATTACGATAGAACAACTAGCAAAACTTCGTCGAGCGTTTTAGCGAAGATTGCAAATGTGTCCATAACAAAAAAGGTAAACATTTTGTACATTTTGAATATTTCATTCAGGCACGCGGACCGGACTGAAACCGCGACCGAAAACCGTATGGAAATCAGTATTTTTGTTGGACCAGAACCGTAAATCGTAACGAAATTTTATGAAGTCTACGGAACTTCAATCGAAATTGAAATTGTTATTTTTCGGTTTGCAGTTCTATTCAGTTCTTATTCCGTGACTTTAAGTAAACGTTTTTTTATTTCCTAATAAAATTCTAGTTCTCACGAAAAAGTAGAACGTTGAGAAGTTCTGCGATAAATTGCGACAAATAAAAAATGAACTTAAGCCTACGATATTGAACAGAAGAGGGTTAATGGAAGAAGTAATATATTACAATTTTGAGTTAAATAGAAAAGCAATAATTCTGAATTATACAAATTACTCTAACGGATCATGTATATTTGGAAAAAGTTTGGAGAATATTGACGTATTCTTTGAATATTTTTAGAATCTATTGGGAGTACAAATTAGTTCGGTCCGTTTTTTGTGGTCAAAAATACATTTATTTCAGAACAAAATAATATGAACAAAATAATATTTCAGAATAAAATAAATGAACAGATTAATCAAGTATTGTTTAACGCTGGCTACTACTTTTTCCCACCTCTCAGGCAATTTTTGAATTCCATCTCGAAAAAATGTCTCGTCTTTTGAGGCGATCCAAGTTAGGAGCCAATTTTCGATTTCTGCGAAATAAGTGAACCTGTGACCTGCCAAATCGTGCTGCATCCATCGGAACAACCAGTAATCAAAAGAAGCAATGTCCGGCGAATACGGCGGGTGCGGTAAAATATCCCACTTGAGCGTTTTTAAATAATTTTTTACGACTTTTGCGACATGAGACCTAGCGTTATCATGCAGAAGAATAACTTTGTAGTGCCTTTGCTCCCATTCCGGCCGTTTTTCTCGTAATACACGGCTCAAACGAATCAATTGAAGCCTATACCGATGGCCTGTAATGGAATCGCCAGGTTGTAGCAGAGTAATGCCTCCAATCCTTTGTCTTCGAATTTTTTTGGCTGTCCAGAACGAGGTTTGTCTTCAACGCTGAAATCACCATTCTTGAAACGTCGAAACCATTCCCTACATGAATTTATCAGTTGGAGCATTGTCACTATAAACTTCTACAAGCATTCGATTCGCTTCAGCTGCACTTTTCTTCCAATTAAAGCAGATAACTCCCGCAAATGCTGCTTTGTTAACACAAAATTTGATATATTCAACACAGTAAAAAACAGGGGTTTTGTATGAAACTCAAAGCGATATAAACTGAATATTATTGACAGATGTCTAACCTCTCCAAATCACCGAAATCAGCTGTCACTATGAAACATTCATAACAGCCAGAGCCATCTTTGAAGACGGACCGAACCAATTCTTACCCCCAATATCATAAAATATGGCTACTGAATAATATAAATAAAGTATCATGAAATAAAATAATAGAATTAGGTAATAAAATATCATAGAAAAAGAAAATATATAGGGTGTATGTAAAA